CTCGGGGTGGACACAGATACTGTACACAGGTAAGGTGAGAACTAGGGATTGAGCCCTGGGGTCTGCATCGGCTACTGCGAATAGGTGAATACCGTTTCACTTCTCACCAAATGTGCAAAATCTGCTAGAATGTGGAATAATACGCCGCCATATGTTTTGTTTTTTGTGCATGTGGTAGGTAGAGGCCCTTGGGGCCACTGTACGTATTCCTTTTTTTTTTTTTTTTTTTTTTTTTTTTTTTTTTTCTTTTATTTGTTTTTTTTTTTTTTTTTTTTTTTTTTTTTTTTTTTTTTTTTTTTTTACTTACTTAAATCAGGTCCTTATGGTCCTGGCTCCATATTCATTCTGGGGAGCGTCAGTCCGGTTCCTTTCCACCGGCAAGTCGAGAATGAAATACATGGTGAACACCCACACGCTTCCTTTCGTCTGGCCGAAGGAACCCTGACCAGCATTGATTGCTCCCTATCAGGAGGATTTGTTGTCAGCTTGCCCTACCTCTTTTCCTCTCAGAGTCTACATTGTCTCTGCCAGATATTACTTGTAAAACAAGAAAAGGGGAGAGTTGTCTAGACTGTTGAGATTATAATCTCATTTTGCTCCTTCTTGGATCCCTGATCATGTGCTGTGCCACTACTTCACCATTCTGTTGTCCATCACAGTCACGATCTTTCCTTGTAGAAGCTAGTCTCTTGTAAATTTACGTCTCTTGGTGGCTGTTCTTTCTGGTCTGCCCTTCGTCGTCGTGGTCACTTCTCGCCATCTGGATCGGATCTGTGTTTCAGCCATTCTCAGCGGTAGAGCCCACATTTCTTCTCTTGGCACCTCGGTCTCTTCGATCGCCTTGGAGCACCTCCTTTTCCAGATTACCCATAGAGTCAGCTTTCTGAGTAGGTGGAACCACACTTCCTTGCCACCTTTGAGATTGTTCATGTCGTTAGATAGGAGCAGAATGTTCAAGGGGGTTGTGGCCGGGGGGGGTGAAGAGAAGAGAGAGATCCATAGGACGCGCACTTTGTTCCAGATCCACGTAGCTTCCGTGCAGTATAAGAGGCAGTGGAGTGTGTCCTCCACAGCGTTGTCTGTGCACAGTCTGCATATCTCAGTGCTGGCAGGGTCTGTGTGTTTTCTTCTCTTGTGGAGCCATTGATTGGTTGGCAGGGCGGCGTGTGCTAAGAGCCATTGCATGCTTTGAATCCTAGCTGGTCTGATGGTTAGGAATTTAGTCCACGGGATGGTTATGGGGGTCGAGGGATCCAGACTTAGTATATCCCTCCATTTGCTTTTGAGTCTAGGGTCTGGGTCTGTGGTCTGTAGGCCTAGCTCGTAGCCGAATTTGACGTCATATTCTGCTATAGTTCTCGTCCTCCCTGAGGTTCCCTGTTCCCATATACATTCTTTCGGGTCGAATTCTAGCTCTGAGATGCAGAGATCCGGTCGGAAGATTATCCAGGGTTTGGACTTTGATACCCTCACTTTTCTCAGTCGGAAAGTCTCCAGCCTCTCGCTCTGGGGGTCGTTGTTCTGAACTTCCATTTCGTTTGTGCTGTGATTCACTACCGGGTAGGAATAGAACTTGGATAGGTAGTCGGGTGGGTCTTTTCTAGCGACGAATCTGTATGCCCTGGTAGGCTGGGCTTGGGAGACTAGTATGCCCCAGCCCCTGGATTTCCACGAGAATTCCTCTCTTAGGAGGGGGAGCCATTGTGTTGGGATGCTATTTTGGATCATTGTCAAGTTATCGGAGAGGGCGTGGCAGCCTTTTAGTGTGGTTCGTAGCTCCTGATCCGTAGCCCACCGTCCTTGCTCTTCTACCCAGATGTGCTTGACCTGCCATACTCCTTTTTCTATCCATGATAGCCATCTGCGGTCCCGAGAACGTAGGGTCCAGGTTGAACCGTTGGGGTCAGTGATCCAGGGATTGCAGAAAACGGTTGTCTCAGGACTTCTTCTCCATTTCCTGGTGCCCCATGTTTGCTCGACATCATTTTACGCCAGGCCTTGATGGTGGGGCTCCAGTATTTACTGACTGTATGAGTTGGGTTTGTGTTGAGTTGTGCAGGATTGTGTTGTGCGGGGTTTCTTCTGCGTGGTCTGACGGACTTGACTGTCCAGTCCTTTGCCATAATCCAGAACAGGCCGTTCATGTTTCGAGGAGAGATGATGGGAGCTAGGTTTTTGATGCTGTCCAGCGCCATGTGGGTCCACGGGAGGAACTGTCTGGTGAGAATCTTGATTATCCATTTCATCTGCAGTGCTATGGATTCCTGTTTTGGGTCAATTATCCCGAGGCCCCCTTCCTGTGGCTTCCAAGTGATGTGGTTCCATGCGACCCTGTTGATACAGGTGGTCCTGTTGGGGTCACCTGTCCACAGGTAGCACCTTACGCTGTTCTTGAGCTCCTTGAGGTCGTCGTTGGGGGGGGACCATATTGATTCCATATACCAGAGTGTGGAGAAGATCGTTGTGTTGATCAGTAGAGCCCGTCTGATCAGTGAGGCCTGGGCGGTTTTACACTGGGCCAGGCGAGTGATTGTGCTTGCTATTAGGTACTGACCCATTCCCGGCCACAATCCTTCTTTGTTGATCATGATGCCCAGGAATCGTAGTGCTTGCTCTCCCGCGGTCCAGGACATGGGTGTGGTTGTGTCCGGGGGTTGGGGAGGGGTGTCGTCTGCTAACCACYATCCTTCGGTTTTATTCCMATTGACTCTCATTTCTGATGTGAGTCTAAATGCTTCCATTGCCCTTACCAGTGATTGGAAGGAGCTGTTGTTTGCTCTAATGAGTACCGTTAGGTCGTCAGCGAACATGAGTGCAGTGGGTAGGGCGAAGTCGTGTAACGGGTTGAAGTTTCGTTTTGTGAGGCGGTCAATGGATGGGTCTTTGCGGAGAAACGAGGCTATGGCTTCCATTATGAAGAGAAAGATGGGGGGAGCCAGTGGGTCACCTTGTCTGACTGATTGTGAAATTGGGTAGGTTTCGGATATGAGGAAGAAGTCAATCCTGGACAGTGAAGTCCGGTTGGCTTGGTTCCTCCTTATCCGGGAAAAGGTTTTCTTGTCCGGGTGCAGTGCCCTGAGARGGTCGCAGAGTTCGAGTYCAGTCATCAGATTTYGAATCCTGGTGCCCGCTCTTGTGGGTCCCATTAGTACCGTAYTGGATATCCGATCCAGGTTTGGGTCCAGGGTTGTGTTCCAATCCCCTGCGATGATCACTGGCTGTGGGYTGGGGATGAGGGATCTGATGTTCTCAAAGAAGACTAGTCTGTCGGATTCCGTGTTTGGTGCGTAGAGGTTGAGAATTCGCAGGTCCTCACCTTGCCACTTGATGTCCATCCACGACCATCTCCCTTCCTCGCTGTCCCCCTCGCTGTTTAGGATCTGCCCTTCGTTCAGGATTTTGGACGTTTTTGGGATCAGTATCGCTGTCCCCCTGATACTACTGTCTCTGTTGGACCAGAAGGCTGCTGTGCATCCCCCTATGGAGCTCTCCATCCTCTGCTGTATCCTCGGGTGACCGATCAGGTTGGATGGATGGGTTTCTTGAAGGAGTGTGAGGTCGGGTTTGGGGATACCACTGTACGTATTCCTAAGAAAAGAAAAACGAGAAAAAGAGAATTAGTGACCCATAACTGTGATGCACAGACATGAATTCGAATCCAGACTATATTCTCGGCCCACGCATACAAACTGGAAGCGTAAAGTCTATCTCTGCTCCACGTAGGGTCCTTGCTAATTCGTCGTAGGAGTAGGACATGCACACCCACAATTTTGGGGTATGGTGTGGCCCCAACTCTTTTCCCTCTTGCTCTCTGATTTTTAGAAGCGAAGGGCATGTTTGGCCACCCCACCCTGTCCTTTTCGATTTTTTTTTTTTTTTGTGATGCGCTGCATCACGTGCGCGCGCATGCATGCGCGTGCGCTCTGCGCCGTATGTGGCTCAGCCCCACTCAGGGGATGCGCCGCAAGTATGGAATGGACATGAATAATGCTGCACACGTCGCTTGGTGCCAAGGAGTTCATGTTTCCCCCAAACAGCATACCTCACAGAGCTACGTATGGGCTAAGGTCGCAAGCAGCGGAAAAAAACAAGCACTAAAGACCCAAGTGGCCTTCGCTATGGCCTGCACACATAGGAGGGCCGAAGAGCGTGCCCAGAATCCAGAGTCACGGCACATTGGGGCACACCAGGGTTCAAATCCCTGCTTTTCACAAAAGTATTCTTCTGATGAGGGCACAGAGTGCAACCATGACCTTACTCCCAAAGGGAGTAGCATGAACGAATATGTTTACAGATGAAAACAGAGAGGGGCTTGCATACATGAAGAGCTGATCTAAGACATGAGTCATGATGGGACTGAGTGAAACATAGGGTGATGGTTACATTATGCCACTGGACAGGGCGTCATGATGCATTGGATGAAGACACAGGGACTCGCATACTCGAAAAGCCGAGCCAAGACAGTAGACGGAGTGAAGCATCATCGATTCATCATCTTGATGGCGCTCTGTCCAACAACGCTGACATCATAATGCTCATGTCAGTGCATAGAGGAAGAAAAAGAAACCGTCTTTCAAGTGCTCTTCACTGGATTCGAAAATCCAATTCCCTCCCCAAGCATCTAAGGTGCAATCCTCTGTCTCAGTGCAATCAATCAGATAGATTTTTTCTTGTCCGCTCTTTGCTACTACTGCCCTATCTTGCTGCAAGATTGTAGAATAATTAATCAGGAGATACTGAATCATTGAGATAGGAAAAATGCTGAGATTGATTGGGAACCGGAGGAGGTAGAGCCATTCATGTTGCTATGGTGTTCCATTGTGACTACCCACCCCGTCATGCACAGAGGCGAATGTCTTGCAGAGTCACAATTACTCCCCCATTGTTGCTCATTGTGCTCGTGCATGATTGCTTTCTGGATGTGCCTTAAGCAGTTTGTGGTTTCAACTTTGTGTTACCTTGCTTTCTCTTTGTGATGTTGTTTGATATCCTGAGTGTAGATAACGGTGAGGTTATCACTGAAGGAGTGGCAGTTTGACGATGGTTCAAGAGCAGTTGCTAACTTCATACCATCCTTATCGGCGAGAGAGGCAGCTCAACCATTACTGGGGGCGATCTCACGGCTACAGCCACTGACTGGGCGCACAATTTTGGTCTCTGCAGTAGAAGGGCGGAATCTTGCGCCCATTGGGAAGACGGGTAAAAGCAACCCTTATGTGAAGCTAACCTATGGCCGGGTAAGAGTGCAATCTGAGTTTGCCCTGAAATGCCCTCCTGTCTGCCTCCTGTGTGCTCTCTGTGTCCTGTGCAACTTCGCCGAACAGGCTTTGAGATTTACTGTTGTGAACTTGTGAGTCAAAATTATAATGGTTTATCTGATTTCTTGGGAAAAACAGGGACTGCATCCTCATGCTGTGTATAGCTAATCCCCCTTTCATTTGAACCTTTTTGCACTTCTCGATGCGCTGTGGATCTCATCTACTTAAATGACACGATATATCTTTTACTGCATGTTGGATCGCAGACAGTGAGGAAAACTCAAATATTAACCGATTCCGACCTGTCCACCGTGGATCTCAGACAACGCGGAAGACTAAAATGTAATGACTCGCGAAAAACACAGACTGAGAACACTGCTGATTTCTGGGATTTGCTGCTGGAATGAATGTCTGGCTGAAATTCCCACATTCTGCTGTGATTTCCATGTCTGTGTGTGCGTGCGTGCCTGCTAGTTTGCATGCCTGTCTGAATGCTTGTCAGTTGAGTGTGTGTGTGACCTCAAAGGGTACTTGTTGGTTGAAAGGCCCCGCAGGGCCGGTACTTACCTGTGGCCGTGACTGTGAAGGGTTGCAGGGGGGAAAACACTCGAGTAGCGGGGGTAGACCCACAGCACTTAGAGCAGGGGAAAAACACTCGAGTAGCAGGTAGGCCGGTCCCACTGAAGTAGTGGTAGAATTGTGGGGTACTGGAGGCCGAGCAGAAGAAGACAAAAAGTTGGCATTTTTAGAGGCCCAGTAGAGGTAGGCTAGAGGTGGGCCGGTTTCCCTCCGAAAGGGAGGAGGTACCGGTTGCTGGGAGGCCGCTCGGCCTAGGAAGTCACCGCCCAGGAGGCCAGTAGGCCGCTATATCTTTCGGAGGAGCAAGTAGCTCCTCCTCATTTGCGGTGTGCAAGGATTGGCGACATGCTGCTGGAGCACAGCGCTGGACTGGGACAGCGCTGCTTGGAGGTGAAGGGCAGCTGGAGCTCAGCCTGGCTATGGCGAGCAGTCCAGCTTGAGGAGGAGGAAGAAGGGGGGGGCGAAGGAGGAGAGTGGCGGGGCACTTACCTGGCTATGGTAGACACCATCTTCATCACCTTGTTGGGCTCTGCATCTGGAGGGCCCCAGTTTGGGTAGTGCTGCACCGAGGAAGCTCGAGGCAGAGTCAGGCATGGCGGACCAGTCAGCAGCACCATAGCTGCTGTGGGCTTTCCTTTGGACATCAGCGCAGCACCATAGCTGCTTTGGGTTGTCCTTTGGACATCAGCGCAGCACCATAGCTGCTTGGGGTTGTCTTTTGGACAGGAGGGCAGGGCCCTCATTAGTCCGCCATAGCCTATGCATGAGAGAGGAGGCTGAAGGAGGGAAGCCATAGCTATGGTGGACTTGTTGTTGTTGTTGTTGTTGTTGTTGTCGAGTTGAGTCAGCAGTAAGAGGGAACTTCGGATATTGATTCTGGTTCATCCATTCATTGTTATTATTATTATTGAGAGAAGAATAAGATTGGCGAAAGGAGGAGGAGGAGGAAGGTGGAGAGAGAAGGGGGAAATTGTCATTGGTCCTGCTGGTGCATATCTTCTTCTTCTTCTTCTTCTTTCTCTCTCCTCTGGTCTTTATCTCTTTGCAAGTGCTTTCATTTCTTTCGCAATTCGGTGGCATTGTCTTTCATTGTGAATTTGCACTTGGGACATGACCAGGATCGTAACAATTGGTATCGGAGCGGACTTACTTGCTGGCGAGAGGTGTTAGTCACCCTAAACCTAATTCCGAGTTAGGTTAGGGCTAACCTAATCTCGGATTAGGGTTAGGAAGTTAGGGTTAAGTGGGGCAGTGAGGTATGTGGATATTGCCCCCACCTGGTTAGGTCATGTGGGGTCGACATTAGACCTGACCAGGTTGCTTGAGTGATTGGATGGGGTGGCGAGACACAAAGGAGGCTGATTGGAGTAAGCGAGAGGGAGTAGAGAGTGAGAGGTACTCGCACCTGGAATCTGCACTTCAAGAAGACTTGGGCTTCCCCTCAAGAGGGAGACTTGATCCTCGGAGAGCTGCAAGTTGCTACTTTGGTCTTCAGACATCGGCGGGGGATCCGGCGTTGCAACAGGGGKGTAGGAAGGCCCTCTTAGTCATGCTAGGACACTTCGTGTAGTGGTAGCTAGGGGTCAGGAGGACTTATGAGAGAGGGGGGTGAGTCGTTATCCATCTTTGGAGGCCGGGCCTCACAGGTAAGTGTCGTGTGACCTGGTTAGCCCGTGGGAGGTTGCTTGGTGCTTCATGGCCTGTTGGGGGTGTGCTGGGCTCTCTTCCTCTTCTCTGCGGTCTTGGTTGTGTGTGAGCATGTGGATTGCTTCCTCACCTGATGGATGGATGGATGATGTATCTGTTCTAAATGACATATCTTTCTACGGTGCAATGTCTTTTCATTTCTGAATGGCTGTAGGGGTAAGTTCTTGCTGAAGTTGTCTTTTCCTTTTCAGTACGGCAGAGGCAGTTTGGGTACACCTATCTCGTTGGTCCTGGTCCACGACCTACTTGGGACCTTTGGGACTCAATGGGACCAGGCCCAACGGGACAGGACCTTTTGGGCCCAAATCTGTTTCCGCCAGTGCTTCTCTTTGCTGTGCTGAACTTGGGGGACTTACGGCTAGCAAGGGCATTCCTTTCAAGGGGATCTTGACTGGTCTTACTGCATGTTATCACATACTGCCCCGCGTCTGACTCGGCGACCGTCTGCACCCCTCAAAATCTCCATTGCTGCAATTAGTTTTCTTCGGCTGATTTATTGTAGTACATGTACCTTGTCAGGTTAGACAAGAGGGGATCTCCAGCTAATCTGATCGGGCCCGTTCGATAAGTCAGTCCTCTCTTCCGTTTATTTTTTTTTATGATTATTATTCTTTTCTTTATTCTGCTGCATGCCATTCTCCAAGTCCAAATGAACTGCCACTCCGGCTAGGAGTTCTACCTTCTACTCTGTGTTTCTTTCATCTGAACTATCTATGTCCGGTATTGAGACACGTGCGCAGACAGCGGGAAGAGAGAGAAGGGAGAGAGAAGGTGTTCTGCTTGAGAGTGTGAGGAAGGGCAAGAGGAGTGTTCGTCCAAACGTGAGGAGAGAGCGAACCCCTCTTGAGAGATGTACTAACACCCCTTCCTCCGGCATGGCGGACATCACATCTGCCCAATGGCAGGCCATGCTGGACGCAGTGGACGAGAACGAGAAACCGTTCTTCCAAAAGCTTTATGACGATGCCGTGCAGAGGGAGAGAGAGGCAGAGGCAGTAGCCAGAACCACAAGCATTGCTGATCAGGTGGCCCTCCTGCAGGTCCCGGAAGCTAATGCTGACCGGTTCCAAGAAAGGTTAGCTGCTGTCGTAGCAGCCTTGGTTCGACTGCGGACCCTAGAAGACCTTGAGTCCCGTGTGACAGCACTGGAGCAGCGGAACCAAGAGTTGCAGGTTGAGATACTCAGCCTTAAACAGTCCCAACCCCTCGTCCTCGTAACCTTCGACCTGCTGCAGTCCCAGTCTCTCAATCTAGCATAGTCCTCACGACAAGAGCAAGTGGAACTGTGACGAGCGCAGGAACCGGTGCCTGCTCCTCAAGCGGCGACGCCGACAATTCTGCATTAGTCATAGTCCCAAATGCAGGGACATCAGCCCAAAACGCCACAATTCTTACTGGCGTACAGTATAGCGGTCCTGTAGTGGACAAGCGGGCGGCCACTCTGCCGTCCAAGTACGACGGGAAAGGGGACATCACTTCTTGGATTAGCTCCATGCGCTAATACTTCGAGGTACTGCAAACACCGCAGGAAGACCGAAGCATGATCATGGGCACTAATATCGAGCCCGCCGTACGGAATTTCATTGAACTCCAAGCTGTTACAACAGGTTATGAGAGAATTGACCTGACTGAGTGGCTGAAAGTAACTCCTGTACGCACTCTTGAGGACCTTCTCATCACACGGTACCAAGATAAGCACGTTGCGCTCAAGGCAAGGCTGAAGCTTGAGGCCCTCAAGGGCCAAACATGGAGGACCTCCATGCAGGCTTTGGAACAACACCTGACTGGTTTGTTCACCACTCCAGACCTGGGAAAGACTTGCGTGTCTTGCGTGGATGTAGTCATGGGAGTGGCCCCTAAAGAATACCTCTTCCTACTAGGACTCAAAGACCATACCACTTGGCGAGAGCTCATGACGGATCTAGTCAACCTAGAGGCCAAAAACCTCGCCAGGCGTAAAAAGGCGCCCGCTGCAGGTGGAAAATCACAACGCAAGCGGTATGGAAGTAGCAACCAGCTTGCCCTGCATGAGCATCGAGAGGCTGAAGATCAGTCCTACGTGGATGATCTGTCTCTAGATGACGATCTAGAGCCGGACTCCAATATGGGTTGTTCTACATCAGCCATTGAGTCTGACGTGAACGAGATGAAAAACTTAATGCTTTCAAAAAGACTGCTTCAAGCAAGGGGCCTAATCGTTGTTCGGGTAGGGGAACTATTGCACACCTCCCCAAGAATGCGAAGATCCCTGAGAAACTGGAGGACGCTTCTACCAAGCCTTGGGAAGCCCTCCGCATCAGTAAAAAAGAATGGGAAAGAAGATCGAAACTGCGCGTATGCTTGCATTGTCAAAAGCCTGGGCATGCTGTGCAGGACTGCTATCGTCTGCAGGGAAACAAGCAAAGGGCGTAGAAGAGTCATCAGCACTCTCTACAACAAGGGAAGCTGAACCATCAGTTGCAGGCCCCTCCAATGAGCCTGAATCTGATCAACAACCTACTTTTGAAGCCCGAAACGACGCTGAATCCAAGGCTGTTGCAATTCGAGTATTGTACACTGAGCCTTGGGGGGAGTCTAAGGAAGTTGACTTCCACGCTCACCGAGAACATTGGCTGCAGCTCAAGTAGCAACTCCGCGTTCAAGGGAGTGTGGAGCGAACGTTCTTTAAGCTGCTCATTAACCGCTGATACATA